AGCATGTGGAATCCAAGTTCCCCGAACAGGGATCGAACCCGAGTCCCTTGCATTGGAAGGCGGATTCTTAACCACTGGACCACCAGGGAAGTCCTGAGACTCAGTTTTCATTTAAGCCAGACAGTAAAGAGATTTGCAAAAATGTGCAACAACGCCACTCTTCTCAAATTGGGAGGGGGTTGTTACTTTTCATTAAAAGTATGTTATTTAGGCTTACTGTTAAAGTAACAAATCTTTTTAAAAATTTCTAGCACATCAGTACTCCCACAAGTGAACTTGTCATTTCAAGGAAAACTGAGTGTTTGTTGCAATATTACACATGCGCTTTCAAGTAAAAATTGAGTTTTGGAAAACTAACATTCACCACCATTATCAGATTACAGAAGTTCTTTGGGAGTCTCAATTTTAGTTGTAAAGTAGGAGTTGGTGAACTTTTACTAAAGGACCAGATAGTAAATATTTTAAGCTTTGTAGAAGCCATATGATCTCTTTTACAGCTATTCAGTTCTGCCAGTGTTGCACAATAGCCTGAGACAACACGTAAACAAATGAGTGTGGCTGTATTGCAGGAAAAGTTCATTAACAGAAGTAGGTGGTGGGCTACATTTGGCCCACAGGCCGTAGGTTACCAACCCCTGCTGTAAAGGGGCTCTGAGGGAAAAAAAATTGGGAATTGCTGCACTAGACTTAACAACTAGATGGTATAACAGACTTTAAGATGTTCAGGGAATTCTCTGGTGATCCAGTGGTTAGGACTCCATGTTTCCACTGCAGGGGGCACGGGTTCGAGGGAACAAAGATCCTGCATGCTGCGCGGTGAGGGTAAAAAGAAAAAAAATGTCGTTCAGCTCTAACTAGATTTTTAGGAAGTTAGCCTCATGGCAAAAGCCCAGCAAACTAATGTCATTTTGTTAAACAGATGGCTTAAATAGAAAGACACTGTTCATAGATGGTATGATGTCATAAAAATGCCAGTTCTGATTAATATTCCAACAGGATTTGAGGGGGATAGAAAAATTGATTCTAGAATAAGTTCATATGGAAATTATGAATTTCTAAGGCAATTTTAAAAGCAGAGCAGGGCCTCCCTGGTGGCGCAGTGGTTGAGAGTCCGCCTGCCGATGCAGGGGATACGGGTTCGTGCCCCGGTCTGGGAGGATCCCGCATGCCGCGTAGCGGCTGGGCCCGTGAGCCGTGGCCGCTGAGCTTGCGCGTCCGGCAACGGGAGGGGCCACGACAGTGAGAGGCCCACATATCAAAAAAAAAAAAAAAAAAGCAGAGCAAAGAACTTCATCAGATACTGTCACACCATAATCCATAGTAATAAATAATAGATGCAGTAACAGACAAAAAGATCAGAATAAAGAGCTCAGAATCTGATACATGATAAAAGTGGTTTCAAAATCATTGGGGAAAGGATAGAGTACTTAAAAGTTGGTGCTGGACAAACCTACATTTTACAGAGAAAAGTAAATACGGATCTCTGTCACCATATACAGAAAATAAATTGCTTTAAAGGTAAATCTGTAAACTAATGAAAATGTAGACTATATTGTGAGTAGGCGAGTATATAGTTAAGACCTATGGCCCTCGTTAATTCCTTCTAACTACAATTTGAGTTGATCTCTTTCCCCCTTGAGGTTCGTCTCCCCCGGAGTTGAGGGACTACAATAAACATCCTACAATTTGACCTTTTACATCTGTATCCAGAACAAAAGCAAGACCTCTTAAAGCACAAACCATAAGCATAAGGTGAAAATTGATAGGTTTTATTTTGTAACCATGGGAAAGATTGAATCAAGAACTGTCAATGGATGTTAAACCTTAGGAAGAAGCTTTGGCAAGGAGTAGAATATTTGCTTGGCCTTAAAGTGGCTCCCCACAGATTGCCGATTAGTTGCAAGAGAAAAATAGCACCTCTGTAGTGGAGAAACTGGCAGCCAATTAGGTAAAGTTATTGTATCCATGTTACATTTACTGAAGTTGATAACCAATGTGGGTGTTTAAGACAATATCCTTAGAGGACTTCCCTGGTGGCTCAGTGGTTAAGAATCCACCTGTCAATGCAGGGGACAGGGGTTCGAGCCCTGGTCCTGGAAGATCCCACATGCTGCGGAGCAACTAAGCCCACAACTAAGTTGTGCGCCACAACTACTGAAGCCCAGGCGCCTAGATCCCGTGCTCCGCAACAAGAGAAGCCACCTCCATGAGAAGCCCGAGCACCGCAACGAAGAGTGGCCCCCGCTTGCCGCAACTGGAGAAAGCCCGCGCAAAGCAACGAAGACCCAACGCAGCCAAAAATGAAAAGACAATATCCTTAGGAAATACACACTGAAGTATTTAAGGGGAAAGGGCCGTGTATACGTATGCAACTTGCTAGCAAAACAACCAAGGATAAAAAAAGGTACAGCTAGGGTTACAAATGATAAATGGGGTAAAATGTCAATGATAGGTGAGCTTGAGTAAAGGGCATATGACTGTTATTTGTAAATTCTTATTTGTGCATCTTTTCTGTAAGTTTGTGGTTATTTTCGTATAAGAAGCTTTTTTTAAATGGATTGATTTTGGCATAAAAATTGACGTTTTGCTAATCTTGGAAAACGTTAGTTGACTAGCGTGAAATATTTAAGCCCACAAGGATTATCTAGAATACAAAAAACCTGGAAATCAACAAGGGAAAGACAAAGACAGGGATTGAACAGGTAATTTACAGAAGAGTTAACTAGAACAGATGGTTAATCTCTCTCTTTCTTTTCATGTGGACCATTTTTAAAGTCTTTACTGAATTTGTTACAGTATTCTGTTTTATGTTTTTGGTTTTTTGGCCTCCAGGCATGTGGGATCTTAGCTTCCATAGCCCCTGCATTGGAAGGCGAAGTCCTAGTTAATCTGTTTCTGATAGACTTGTATACAGTTGCAGTGGATAGGTGTTGAAAACAATTCCAAGCAAGGAAAAACAGAATGATAGCTGGTGTGCCTTATCATTTATATAAATTTAAACCACGCATATCTTCACTATATGTTTGAAAGTAGAACTACAAAAATATATTAAACAGGAGGTGTATGTGATTGAAGAGAGGAATGCGAGTGGGAATAGAAAATAAACAGAAAAAATAGAATCAAAAGAAAAAAATAGAATCAAACTAGACAGGGGTGTTCTGACAAGTCAGCAAGCCTTGAGCTCAGGAGGTGGATGAGTTATAAACTCATCCCCGAGGTCTGTAAGACCAAAAGAAGGAAAAAAAAAAAAAAGTGAAAACAGCTCCCAAGCCCTAATTAACTTGTCTCAATCTTACTGAGTTGGAAGCAGTTTTCATTACAAACAAGGGGCCAGCCCCAACTTGCCCGCTTTTCTGCTCATTTGTGTCTAAACTCCCCTTCTAGCTTTCTCACCACACCATAGCTGCGCCCTACTCCTAGCACACCTTTGGGAGTGTCATGAACACGTTCATCACATTTTTGTGCCAACAAAGGGACTCTTCCCAAGCTTTTCACTAAGAATCTGGTTGTCGGTTACTGAGGGTTTCAATTTACACACCATAAAGTTCACCCGTTTAAACTTTATTTACACACCATAAAGTTCACCCGTTTAAAATGTACAGTGGCTTTTAGTACAGAGTCAACCATCACTATAATGTAATTCTAGAATGTTATCACCCTCCCCAAAGAAACCTTGTACCCTGATTCAGCTCTATTCCGCTCTTGAACCTTGCATTTCTTTCTCCCCCAGGGGTGGAAGTTAAAACCCGGGGGCTGGTCACTGCCCACCAGAGAAGCGTGCAGCCTGGGGCTCCCCTGGGGTGGGTTATCACTCTGGCAGGCTATATCTGGGTAAACACCTGGAGGCTTGAGCTGGCTCTGCGAAGATGTCTTTTTTCAATATGTATATTTTTGAAAAGAAGTTCAATGCTTCTGGCAGGGGTAAAAGGACATCCAGGGGAAACACACCTCCACAGGCCCCCACACCCTGTCCAGACGCCTACTCCCAAGGCTACACGTTCAGTGCACTCTCATTTGTCTTCCCAGAGATGTTCTCACAGAGATTTCTCTAGTGCATTATTTGCACACCAGGAAGGAAGAAGCCATTGAGTAGCGCTCGGGTGGAATCAGCCTGGGAGTGGGGGCATGGTTGGAAGGCCGACTGCGTGCCCCTCCTCTTCCTTGAAGGTCCACCAGTCTGGCTTCCTGGAGCCCCTCGCTGCGGTGAGGGAAGACCTAGCGCCTGCCACCCGTGCACCTCTGTGCTTGGAGGGAGGCATCTGCACACGTGGCACTGGCCCAAGCGGCGCCTGCCCGAGGCCCTAAGAGGACCTGTTTCCAGAGCTGCAGCTCTACGTATGTGGATGCCTAGTGTGTGTGAACTTCTGCGAGCCGTGTGAGAACATGTGCGTGCTGGGTGGGCAGGTGTGTACACATGGTGTGTGCGTGCTGTTCACACTGCGTGAGGACGTGTGTGCACCCTGTGTGAGAAACTACATCCCATGTATATATAATGCTGAGTGTATGCACTGTGGGGACGTGTGTTTACATGGGTGTGTGCATGCTGTGTGTGCATGCTGCGTGTAAGCACTGTATGAGGAACCGTGTGCATGCCGTGTATGCGTGCGCGCTGTGAGGACTGGTGTGCACATCGAACGTGCACGCGGTGTGTGGGAGCGCTATGAGAACTAGTGCTCACATTGCACGTGCACGCCGTGTACTCGTGCTGTGTGAGGGCTGGTGTGCATATTGCCAAGTGCACGAGGTAGGCGCCTGCTGCTTGAGGGCCCGTGTGCACCTCGCGTGTGCACGCGGTGCTCGTGCGCGGCTTGAGAACCGGTGCGCACATCGCACGTGCACGCCGTGGGGGGGACGCGTGCGCGTACGGACGCGCGCAGGTCCCATACGGCGCGGCGGCAGGGGCAGTGCGCCTGTGCGGCCCCGGCATCCCGATGGAGCACGGCGTCGACTGCAGGGCGGCAGCCGGGACGGAGGGGGCTACGCGGGCCCCCCCGCTCCCCGGGAAGATGGCCGAACCGGGCGCGGTGCGGACCTCGCCGCCCAACCACCGGCCTTCAGGTAGGGCTCCCGGTATGCGGCGGGCGCGTGGGAGCCTCAGGCCCCCCGGGCGGGCCGCAAGAGGTAGAGGTTCTGGAGCGCGAGGCCGAGGGGGGCGGGGCACGGAACTGAGCTAATGTCCTTTCCTCAGCCCGGGGTCGCCTGGGCGCGGGGTCCCGGGGCCGGCGCCCCTCACGGTGCCGGTGGCAGAGTACCCTCTCGAGTGGCCTTGAGTGAGTGGGTGGGATTGGGGGTGGCTTAGGGTGGGTGGCAGGTGTGTTTGGCGTGCGGGGACCGGGGCCACGCTTGATGCCCCAGGGGCCCGGGGGGCTGGCCCCGCATCGCGGAGCAGCAGGCGTGGGGGGCACTGGGGCCGACCGAGCGGGCGCGGGGGGTGGCCGGGGCCTGCGCGCCAGCCCAATCTGCGTCTCGGGCGTCGTGCGCGAGGGGCAGCCCAGCTTCATGCTTCGCGGCGTCCCCGGGGGGCAGAACCGGCGCGTCACCCACTGGCAGGGGTGGCCAGCTGCGAGCCCCGGGCCGGGTTCCCCTGCCGCCCGCTTGCGCTCCCGGCGGCCGCGGGTGCGCTGCCCAGGGGTCTGGCGGGGTCGCGGCTCCCTCGCGTGGCAGCGCGACGGATGAGTCCCCCGGCCCTAGAGGCTGCAGCTGCTGGGAGCTAAGGAGGGATGGTCCCCGGATTGGCTGCCTGGAAACGAGCGAAGCAGGGAGAGATTTTGAGGACATTTGGCAGAATTTTAGATAAGCTGGCCTCACATCTTCTAACGTTCTGTAAAGTGGTTGCAGGTAGTGCGGGTGTGTAAGCAACTTGGAAACCGATTTCATGTTTTTCCTGGCAACACCTTTTTTTTCCCTTTTTTTTTAAGTTAGTGTGATCTATTTTTAAGGCGTGTTTTACCGCAGTATAACGTGCATCCCACAGAAGCGCACAGATCTTAAGTATAGGATTTGGAGAATTTTCACATAGTGAAGATCTGCGTGTTTTATGTAAGGTGTACCAAGGAAGGGAAGGAAATCAAGGGCAATGTTCTTTAGTCACTTAAAACATGGTTTTCATGGGGGAGGGGTATGTTCTGATTGGCCCTTCATTTGCATCATTTCGAGAAGGAGGAGGTGGCTTAAATCTTTCCCAGTTTGCGTTTTTCATCACGCATTTGTTTTGAAGGCAGAATTTAACAAATATCACAGGATAGTGATATAAATACTAAAAAGATGTACTTCTGTTTTCGTCCTTTTTGTTTGGGAAACTCGGCTGCATGTGCTAGGGAGAAACCCAAAACCCACCCATCCATCAGAACCAGCCTTGGGGGAGGGGGACCTAGTAGAATATAACATTGGAAAAGGGAGGTTGTTAAAGTTCACATTTTTATTTGGTCGAGAGTTTAAACAATTAGGTCGTTTCGATGTTTTAGAGGCAGGGCGGAGCTGTATGGTTGAGCCTGAAATATCTGTGATATTTTAGTTTATTTGAAGGTACTCAGTAAGGGGACATCTTTATTAAGTTCTAGTTGGAAACTTTATTGTAGAAAAATAGCTTAAAGCTCTTTTCCTCCATTTGAAATTAGAAATATGGAAAGACATGTTGTGTGAAGGTTTAAAATATTTCAGGGAGTTCCCTGGTGGTCCAGTGGTTAAGACTCCGAGCTTCCACCGTAGGGGGCATGGGTTCAACCCCTGGTCCGGGAGCTAAGATTCCACAAGCCGCGCGATGCGGCCAAAATATATATATATATATTTCATAAACTTCTATGTGCATAAGGGTTGATGTGGAATAATTGGAGTGTTCAGTTTAGGTGCCAGGTAGTACCATGGTTTGTTCTTTCAAAGCGGGTTTTGTGAGGCTAGGTACTTAGAAAAATAATGTCATCCTCAGAGAAGTCTTGATTATTGAGTTTTTTGTGTTTTTAAAATATTTATTTATTTATTTACTTTTGTCTGCGTTGGGTCCTCGTTGCTGCGCGTGGGCTTTCTCTAGTTGCGGCGAGCGGGGGCTACTCTTTGTTGAGGTGCACGGACTTCCCATTGCAGTGGCTTCTCTTGTTGCAGAGCATGGGCTCTAGGCGCACAGGCTTCAGTGGTTGTGGCTCGTGGGCTCTAGAGCGCAGGCTCAGTAGTTGTGGCGCACGGGCGCAGCTGCTCCGCAGCATGTGGGATCTTCCTGGACCAGGGCTCGAACCTGTGTCCCCTTCCTTGGCAGGCGGATTCTTAACCTCTGTGCCACCAGGGAAGCCCTTTGAGGTTTTATTATAATACATCTTGGTACTGATTACTCTTGGCTGCCCAAGGCCTTATCATTTGGGACTCATTCTTTTTTTTTTTTTTTTTTTTTTTCTTGCGTTATGCGGGCCTCTCACTGTTGTGGCCTCTCCCATTTGCGGAGCACAGGCTCCGGACGCGCAGGCTCAGCGGCCATGGCTCACGGGCCCAGCCGCTCCGCGGCATGTGGGATCCTCCCGAAACGGGGCACGAACCCGCGTCTCCTGCATCGGCAGGCGGACTCTCAAGCACTGCGCCACCAGGGAAGCCCTGGGACTCATTCTTGATGAGAGTGAACCTGCATTTCTTGAGAGTCAACCATTGATCCTAAGCTTGTGCTGAGTGCTGTGAGGGGCAGAAAAGACTAAGAGGCCTGAGGTGTTTAGGCTCTCGGTCAATTTCACGGCAGCACAGCTGGGCGATATGGGCCGGCAAGTGGTTTTCCTGGGAGCTGTTGTAGAAGGTCGCAGGGGAACCTCTCTGGTTGTTTCTTCTAGCAACAGGTTCTTCCAGTACTGAAATCCTGTGCAGTTTTTCCCCATTACCCACCAGTGATGCTTTCTTTCTTTCCTTTCAATTACTCCCAGAAGAGAAATTACCAGACGTGCTGTTCTCTTTAGTGCTTGTGTTATATCACAGTATAAGGAATGCGGAGCAAGCACCTGTTGCTTGATTCTGCCTCAATACCTTTAGAGGGCAAGCAGAGTCACCAGGTCACCGCTGTCAGGCTGCCTCGCTGTTACACAGGTCCTGGGCACCGCTCAGTCTGAAATGCCCCCTTCTCCCCTTTTCCCTTCGGGCGTTCACTTCCTCTAGTCTTTTCTCAGTCTGAATTAAGGAACTCGTCTTGCCTGTGCCTGCAGCACCTGCAGGAAAGCACTCTTCTTATTCTGCCCGTGTGACGACATTAACCTTCCAGTTCCTCTTGGCAGGTGTTCATTGGGTACCCACTGTGAGCAGGGCCCTGTGCTGGTGGCTCCTGCTGTCATTGGAGCTCGGGCGATCGAGATCCAGACTGCCTGGGTGTGAATGCCGCCTCTCCCCTTCCTGATGTCTCACCTCAGGGAGACATTGCTGAGCTTTAGTTTTCTCACCTTTAAAATGGGCTTAAGAACACCGTGGCGGAGGGGGGGGGGCGGGGATAGAAACACTGCCTTGAAGATGAAGGAATTGATATCTGTAAAGCAGTGCTTGACACACAGTAAATGCTGAAGCTGGTTACCCATTGTCCCTTCTGTTAGATGATTGGCTTGAGGGCGAGGCCTGGTGTAGAGGGTGACTGCATGGTCATCCTACTCCCCCTCAGAGGTTTTTGTTTTTGCGGTACGCGGGCCTCTCACTGTTGTGGCCTCTCCCATTGTGGAGCACAGGCTCCGGACCCGCAGGCTCAGCGGCCATGGCTCACGGGCCCAGCCGCTCCGCGGCATGTGGGATCCTCCCAGACCGGGGCACGGACCCGTATCCCCTGCATCGGCAGGCGGACTCTCGACCACTGCGCCATCAGGGAGGCCCCTCCCTCACAGCTTTTGCACGCAGCAGGTGTGTAACTGATGTTTGACAATTGCATTATGCTGGGAGCAGCTCCACTGGGTTGAGGAAATACTCATGAGTTGGATTAAAGAAGTGTGTCGGTGGAGGAGCTTGAGATAGTGGAATTACAAAGCATGTTTCCTGAGGCTTGTTGAACTTTCCAGTGCTTTCTGCAGGTAAATACTGTTTACTGAGTTCAGTCCATTTGCCCATGGTTCCCTGGTAAGGAGGGAATTGCTTTGAGGTGAGATGAGGTTCCCTGCTGTCCTTCCATCTGCCTGTCTTCCATCCCCCATCCTGGATCAGGAGAATGGAGGGGTGCAGACTGGAAGTTCAGGAGAGCCTCCCCCCAGGGGCCACAGTAGGGAAAAGGAAAGGCTGAGAGTAGGGCCCCAAGAAATCAGAGTTCTTCATCCTTTCTCAAAGTTGCTACATTTAAAACCATTCTTTTTTTTTTTTTTTCCCCCCACACTGCACGGCTTGTGGGATCTTAGTTCCCCGACCAGGGACTGAACCTGGGCCCTCAGCAATGAAAGCGTGGCGTCCTAACCACTGGACCACCAGGGAAGTCCCTAAAACCATTATTGACCACTGTCATCCTAGAGCTGTTTGGACAAAGAGGAGCAACTTGAGCTTGTGCGTGTGTCCTAACGTTGCAAGTCCCTTCGGCAGTGAGAAGGGCCAAGGTCAGGAGCGAAAGAAAGTTGTATTTGATCTGGGGCTTTTGGCTTTGTGGAATTATGGCACTGAAGGACTCGGACTTGGCAGGACCTTCAGGGCAAATTCCTGAAAGTCTGACCATCAACTGTTTCTTTTCTGATGTACTGACCCTAGTGACCCAGCTGGTCAAAGTCTGTCATTTCTATCTCTATCCCTTCTCCCTCTCCACAATTAAAGGATGTTTTCCTCTCATTCAGATGCCCCATCTTCTGCCATGGTTCACATTTTAAAAGAACATCTTGCCTTCTGTAGTAGTTACACTGATTGACATAACACAGTAGGATTTGCAGGGTTGCTTTGGGCAGACGAGAGATGTGGTTTTCTGGGGGATGCTGGTCAATAGTCTAGTGGGCTTTGTTGGGAGGATTTAACAAGGTAGAACTCGTAATGGCTCAGCATACTAGGTGCTCACAGTGCAGGTAGTATGATGATGCTTATGATGGTATTGCCCAGTTTCGGGGGGTGGGGGAGGGACGGTTGGCATGCAGAGCTGACTCTGG